GCCCGTTTAGGTCCAATCCCCATCCTCTCACAATCCAGGACGGCTGGATTGAGGCAGGATACAGATCCAAGCAGAGTCACTCTGTTGCCTCTACATTTGTTGAGTGAGTGAGTGAGTGAATGAATGAATGAATGAGAGGAAAACAGGGATGGAGGTGGGAGAGAAAGAGAGTGTGTGGAGACAATTGGGCAAGCTGAAGGCAGAAGTCAGCTCTAGGTAAGATGGGGTCCCCAGGCAGAAAGGGCTGTTTCTGCTCAGGAAGGGGAGTAATCATGAAAAGTTTCCTAAAGGAAGCGGTGCTTAAACTGAATATTGCAAGATGCACAGGTAATCACAGGGAAAGGCAGGATGAGCGGAGATAAGACCAACCCTTCTTTTGTATCAAGTCCTTTCCCCTCACTATGCAAAGGCATTTTTCCTCCAGCTGTCCCACCTCGACTACTCATGAGCTTTTCTCTTATTCTAAGCAGCTTATCAACATGCTAAAATATTTCCTTCTCTCCTCCAGCTAATTGCCCCATTTCTCTGTCCTTATAGCAAAACTCCAGTTTTCATTCCATGTTGCCAGTTCTTCCATTTCTCTTAAATCCAATGAAAGTAGCATTTTGTCCCCTAGCCCTCACCCCTCCAGGGAAACAGCTCCTGTCAAGGTCAGGAGTAATCTCGTGTTGCCAAATCCAGCTGCCAGTCCCGGGCCACACCTGGCATGCCCCTGTGTTTGGCACAGCTGGTCCCTCTGTCCTTGAGATACTTCCTTCCCTTGGCAACAGAGCCATCACCCTCTCTCCTCTTGCAGTGCTACTCTTTGTCTCCCAAATGTTGAGCCCCACAACGCACGCTTCCACTGGAAATCACTGCGCGACTCTCCCTGATGACAGAACCCAAACTGGCGCCAAGCGTTCAGAGCCTGGCTGCCTGCCGCCGCCACCTCATCTCTCACAGTGCGTGTGTGCTGCCACCCTCCGCGTGAGCTTTCTCACCACATCCCCCCTAACGTCCCTGGGAACCGAGCGGTTCTCATTGGCAGATGAGGAAGCTGAGAGCCCGATTTTCCGCCACTTGCCCCAGGCCACGCAGCTTGCCAGTGTCCTCTGAGAACGGGTCTGATTCCAGATCCTACGCGTCTTATTTATGAGGAGTGGAAAATAACTGACCTTGCCTGGAGGGTAGAAAGTTGCTACTCCCTCCCCCTCCTGGACCTGAAGGCCAAATCAACAGTCTGGGTTAGTCAAGGCTAAGATAGCAGAACAAACCAAGAAGGGAGATTAGGCCGTCTGGCCGATACATGCAACCACAAGGTTAAGCGATATAGAAACTAATCAGCGTCAGCCCCGTGGACCTCCACCCCCCTTGTTGGGAATGTGCTTGTTTGAAGAGTGCTTAAAAAGGGGACTGCTTTGTAACGGCTGCTGCTGCTCCTGGCCCACGCCGTTGCCGCGGCGGCAGCCCAGATTCGAATCTGCAGTAAAGTTTGTTGTTTGACTCCGCAATTGGCTAGTTGGAGTTATTTCCCAGGTAGGGGTCTCTGCCTCTTGGGTGGTCTCGTCTCCATTTAACAATTTATAACCCAATGCTTGGCCTGACTCCTCCGACGTGGTGCCTGTGAGTGCAGCAGCGGAGGGAAGTCTGGTTCCGTCTCTCAGATCCCAGCCTGTCCATCTGGATTTCCTCTTGAGGGTGCAGGGGTTCATACTCTTCACCCCAGGGTCTCGGTAGTCACGTTCGCAGGACAATGGGGGCTCTTACTGTTTGAAATGCGAAAGCTTCCCGAAAGGAAAGGCCAGCTGCAGCGCAGAACAAGGGCCGAGTGATTCGATCAGACATCTGTGGGGGCCTCCTGGCATTTGGAGTGAGAGTGCCTTAGAGAAACTAACTATTCTGGCCCTGGGGAGTTGGCGACTGTTAGTCTTGGTGGCTTTGACCGCTAACTGCCCCAGGGGTCCCAGGCTGCTGTGTGACTCAGAGTTCCCAACACTCCCCCTATTCTTCTCTTACTGGGATAGCCGGGAGGCCCTGTCTAAGGCATTTTAATTTGGTAATCATTTCACCCACCCACTGTACCCAGGGCCCTGTGTTTTTGAAGTTACTGCTGCTTTTCGAATTGGGCAGGGCCAGGGAGGGTGTTTACAGCCAGCCGTCCTTGATGGGTGACTACCTTGCCCTGCCATGGGGAGAGCCTTTCCCGTTGGGTTCGGGCTCCCCGGGCTCCATCCATCTTGCCGGTGCTCCCTCCTCTCTGCCATAGATTACCTGGACTGTTCCATAGCCCTTAACCTTGAAGCACCTTGCCAAAAGTTGATGGCGGAGCCGAAACCGGTTTGGCTCAGTGGATAGAGCGTTGGCCTGTGGACTGAAGGGTCCCAGGTTCGATTCCAATCAGGGGCATGTATTGTACCTTGGTTGCAGGCACATCCCCAGTGGGAGGTGTGCAGGAGACAGCTGATCGATGTTTCTAACTCTCTATCACTCTCCCTTCCTCTCTGTAAAAAATCAATTATATATATATATATATTTATATTTTTAATTTTTTTTTTAAGTTGATGGTGTAAACTAGGGAGGAGAGAGGTAGCCACAGGTGTATCTCCTATTGCAGGTGTATTTATGCAGTGCACTGTGCTAAAGAGGCAACTGCCATTCATCTTTCATATTCTTTTTTTAAATATATTTTATTGATTTTTTTTTTTTTTAACAGAGAGGAAGGGAGAAGAATAGAGAGTTAGAAACAGTGATAAGAGAGAACTATTGATAAGGTGCCTCCTGCACACTTTCTGCTGGGGGGATGTGCCCGCAACCAAGGTACATGCCCTTGACCGGAATGGAACCCGAGACCCTTGAGTCCACAGGCCGACGCTCTATCCACTGAGCCAAACCGGTCTCGGCCATCTTTCACATTCTTTGTGAAACTTTCTAGAATTCAGAAAGACCGCAGGTACTCACTGTACACGGTGAGCGGGCAGGTGGTGGGGGTTGGGAGACCAGGGTCTGAGGAACTCATGGTGCCTTGCTGCCACATACACACTTCTGACGCTCTCCCCGTCTCCGGTTGCACGGCCACTGGTGCACTGCCCGAGGCTCGGCTTCCCTGTTTCGGCACTTGCTGTGATCCCCGCTGGTGGCCATGCCAGGTCAGGAGCTCCTGCGCCGGTGTTAGAAACAGGTTCAAATCCAGTACCTGCCACTTACTAGTCGTGTGATTTTGGATAAGTCTCTTCATCTTCCTGAGCTTGTGTAGAAATTAATCATTAATAGCACATGGCTATCAAGAGGAATAATTTTTAAAAAATCTATAATGTTGTCATCACTGTGCCTAGTCCAAAAGCTTCCAGTAAGTTTAGTAATTGAAATGTAGTTTGTATTTTGCTTCTGAAATACTGTTGTTTACATAAAAAAAAAAATATTGCTATGTAAATATTTCTTGTTAAGCCTTTGACTTTCTTTTGCCTACCAAATGAAGTCCCTGCCCTGGCTTCTCACTCATCGTTTGCTTTTGCATTTGAGGTTTTAAATGTCATTGGTAGGGATGGCTAAAAAACACATGGATTTCTAGAAGAAATTGCACATGGATGCAGACGAGCTTAGCTAAATTCACTAAGCAGTTATTCTGTGTGCGGCCCTGGGCTAGGCCCTCAGTGGTACATGAGTATGTCACACATGACACATGATAGGCAGTGCCCATGGTTTTGGACTATCTAGTGCAGGTGCCAGCCCCTCCCCAGCACCCCTCCCCCCAACACCACCACCTTATATGGCCCCGCCCAGTCCCTGCGGAAGGCAGCCCTAAGGGACATTTGCCACAGGGCCCAGCACAGTAGAGCGGCCGGGCATCAGAGGGATCAGTTTTGGCAGCAGGCCCAAAGGTGGAGGTGGGGGAGGCTGGGGCTGGGAACTGGCAGCCGGCCTGGGACTTCCTCAGGTCCCCAGCATGCAGGGCCTCCAGCCCCAGCAGTCACTGCAAGTACCCTGTTCTTCCGATGTGGTTTTCTGTACAAGCTACTCCAGCCCCACACTGAACACACAAAGGCACTGAAGCCCAAAGGTATGAGGTGACTTGTCACCAGTCACACTGCAACAAAGCCAGGGCTGGAGCACACAAGTCTTCTGAAAAATTTTCGGCCATCTCTGACTTGTGGGTTCCCAAGACGGTCTTGGTTCCAGTCCAAGCACAGTGAGACTCTCAGGGTCATTTTGTTCTTTAACAAAATTATAAGGGTCTTTGTTTGCCCATTTCTGTGTAAGGTACCGGGGGGCAGGGTTCCATCAGACTGAGCTCAGGAACTTGCAGTGTAAAGAGGGAGACATGCTACCAGCAGTTCCAGCACAGCACAGTGAGTGCTGATGGGAGTTAGCATGGAGTGTGGGTGGCGGGGGTGCAGTCTGGAGGTCAGGGAATTACTCCCAGTGAAGTTGACATCTGAGCTTAGTTTTGAAAGCTCAGTAGGCATAGCTAAGTAGAGAAGGACAAGGAAGAACACTCTAGCCAGAGAGAAGAGGACGAGAACTTTCTCAGCTAACTGTCTGATGGTCACAGTACATAGCCCAGCGTTCGTGTGGTCTGTGTTGAGGGCGCCCTGCGTGGCTCCCGTGGCCGGTAGGATAGAGAAGGACGTGGAAAGGGCAGGGCTGCTGACTCGATCAAAGCCTGAGCAGCTCTCTCTTCAGAGGTCCAGGCTCTGCGTTCCCAGTCTCGGAGCCTGGATGGAGTTCTTGGTTTTCTCCGTATCAGAGTTACTGCAAGAGAATCTGTGCGAACCCAGTGAGTTCTTTTTACCAAGTTCCATGGATGGGCCTTGCTTGTTTATCTACCTCGTCCTTTAGGGCTTTTTGATTGGAGGGGGTTTTGCCCCCCTGAAGCCTTGATGTGTAGAAGAAGGACTTAAGTGCTGATTGTAGGGAATGAAGCTTTAGTCCAGGTTTAACACCTACAGCTCTTCACAAACCAGTGCCCCCCTGACTGCGGAGTGGCCGGCAGGCAGGCGGTGACTCTCCCTCTCTCTTCACAGGCCCGCGGAGTTGGCCACCAAGTACGCAAACTTCTCGGAGGGAGCGTGCAAGCCTGGCTACGCTTCAGCCTTGATGACTGCCATCTTCCCCCGGTGAGTGCCCCTCTTTCTTCCCACCACCGAGCAGCCTGCCTGGTCCCCGGGGTGGGAGCCCGAGACGCTGCCCTAAGGGCGAGGGATGTGCTCCCGGGAAAACAAGATCCCGGCGGAGGCTGGCTGTTTGTGAGTCTGCGGGGACCTGGGAAGGACTTCGCTTTTGGTTGGCCCGCACCCCGGCCCCACTCTGTGCCCTCGCGATAGCTCGTCCCCTGTTCGCCTGCCAGCACAGCTTGTTCTGGGGGGGAGAGGCCGAGGAGCACCTGCGTGGTTGCCCTGTGGAAACCAGGCAGCCAGGGAAGGCTTATCCAGCACAGGAGAGCCTCGTCATACCATGTTTCCCCGAAAATAAGACATCCTCCGAAAATAAGACCTACTTACAGGTTTCCTTCTGAGTGAAATATAAGGCATCCCCACAAAAATAAGGCGCCCCCCCCCCCAGGCTAAACATGAGAGATTTGGTCCACTGATTCTGAAAGAAATGGAGTCACAAGAAATTCACCAGGAAATTCAGGAATTGGATTGTTATGATGATGTTCCAGAAGATGATGACATGATTGTCATTGAATAAATGAGTAAATTCTTGATACTGTAGGATTCACAGTTTGTCTGGTTTGTGTTGACAACTACCATACTATTTTCTTTTTCTTTTTTAAAAAGATATATTTTATTGATTTTTTACATAGAGGAAGGGAGAGAGATAGAGAGCTAGAAACATCGATGAGAGAGAAACATCGACCAGCTGCCTCTTGCACACCCCCCACCGGGAATGTGCCCGCAACCAATGTACATGCCCCTGACTGGAATCGAACCCGGGACCTTTCAATCCGCAGACCGACGCTCTACCACTGAGCCAAACCGGCTTCGACAAATTTTCTTTATTTTCATTTAACAATAAATGTGTACCATAGTCTTCTTCATGGAAAAATAAGACATCCCCTGAAAATAAGACCTAGTGCATCTTTGGGAGCAAAAATTAATATAAGACACTGTCTTATTTTCGGAGAAACAGGGTAGTATCAGTGGCCAAACTTCTTTTTTTTTTTTTTAAATTTTTAGAAGTTTTTTTTGTTTGTTTTGTGGGTTGTTTTTTTTTTGTTTTGTTTTGTTTTTACTGAGAGAGAAGATGGGAGAGGGGGATAGAGAGAGAAAAAACATCAATGTGAGAGCAAAACATCAGTGACTGCTTCTGCACGCCCCCTCCTGGGAATTGGGCTGGCAACCCGGGCAGGCACTGAACTGGAATGATGCCCAACCAACTGAGCCACCCCAGCCAGGGCAGTGGTCAAACATCTTTGGAAGCCGGAGAGGCAAGGCCAAAGAAAGCAGGGATCAAAGAGGGGCTTCTGAGGCTGGCTGTTTTGACACCATTCCTCCACGTCCACTGTGCGTTCTGGATTCCTGATTCCCTTGATAACAGACTTGCTGAGCAGAGCCATGCCAAACCCTGGGAGTTCCTTTTACCAAATGCTGCTGAGGGGCCTTGGTTGCTTATCTTGCCTTTTCCTTTGGGGTGTTCTTTTACGGAGGCCTTAGTGTGGGGCAGGGCCTGACGTGCTGAGATTGTCCTGTCTGCAGCCTGAAGTGCGGGGAGACGGTGAGGGTGGTTTCACTCCTTCAGGAGAGTAGGGGAGTGTCTGACCTGGGGGGTGGGGGGAGACAGGATGCTTAGGACCCTGTGGGCATAGTGAATCGCTCTTGGACCACCGGGGGTGCCCTGGGGTGGGCTGTGCTCCCTGGGGGAAGGGCTTGCACCCATCCCTTAGAAGGCTGAGGTTAGGGCGCACAGTGTGCCTGCACAGCAGTGCTGAGAAACAGGCTGCCCGAACGTAAATCCAGGGTAGGTGGGTTTTATGCTCCTTTTCTTTTTGTAACTGAGCAATGCAAACTCAGCTATTGGTGTACCAGGGGCTCTTCCGGCTGAAAACCTGGTGTTCAGATAGAGAGCTCTCTTTGTCCTGGATTTGCCACTGAATTCATCCCAATGTTTTGTTTCCCCAGCTATTGACTGAGCACCTCATTCGTATCTGGCATGAGTTCCCTGTTCTTACATGTGTTTCTTAGGCCTGCAGGAGTCAGTCCTCTGGGCCAGGCACCTGTGGGTTTGCCTTGACCTGTTCATAGTTTCTTTTACTTTTTCTAATTGAAAGGAATGGGAGCATGCGATTTAAAAAGAATAAATAACTCAAATAGCCAGAGGATATGTGCTCCCACTCTAGGTCCCTTCCCCAGAGACAGTCAATATTACCCTACATGGGAACATACTGTATGTATTGTTCTGTATCTTGCTTTTTACTCCTAATAGTTTATGTTAGAGATTATCCTATTACCAGTGTAAATGGATCCATCTTATTTTCATTCATTTATTTATTTATTTTTAAATATATCTTTATGTCATAGAGGAAGGGAGAGGGAAAGAGAGATAGAAGCACCAGTGATGAGAGAGAATCAGAGATTGGCTGCCTCCTGCACATGCCCACTGGGGATAAAGCCCGTGACCCAGGCATGGGCTCTTGGCTGAAATTGAACCTGGGACCCTTCTGTCTGCAGACTGACGCTCTATCCACTAAGCCAAACCAGCTAGGGTGATCCATCTTATTTTTAAAATGATTTCATGATATACAATATAATTGTAGGAGTGTATCATACTTTTCGTTAAAAACAAGGTTTATTAGAGTATAATTTACAAACAGTGTGAATTGCTTCTTAGTGTAGTGGTGTGAATTTGGTAAATGCATGCCTGTTGCATAACAATCAGTAGAACATTTCTGTCGTCACCCCCCAACGTTTCCTTGTGCTCCTTTACACTTAACCGCCCCCTGACCCCCCAGTCCCTGACAACCACTTCTCAGTTTTCTGTCCCTATAATATTTCCAGAATGTCATATAAATGGGATCATATAGTATGTAGCCTTTTGAGTCCGCCTCTTTCATTTATTAAAATGCATTTGAGACTCACCCATGTGTTGTGTGTATCAGTTGTCTCTTTTTGTTGCTGAATGGTATTCCCTTGTATGGATGTAATAGTCTGTTTATCTATTCAGCAGTCAAAAGACATTTGTGTTAATTCCAGTTTTTAGCTATTAAAATAGAGCCACAATACGCATTTGTGTACAGGATGTATGCTTCACTTTATATAAGAAACTAGAGGCCTGGTGCACAGCGCTCGTGCACTGAGGGGTGAGGGGTCCCTCAGCCTGGTCTGCATCCTCTCACAGTCTGTGACCCTTCGGGGGTCGTCCGCCTGCCGTGGGGAGCAGCCTAAGCTGGCAGGCAGACGTCCCCTTAGGGGTCCTTAGCGCGGCCGCTCAGGCAGGAGAGGCTGCTGCCACCGCCGCCGCCGCCTTCACCAGCAGCGCTCTCCCTGTGGGACGCTCCTGCATTGAGCGTCTGCCCCCTGGTGGTCAGTGTGTGCCATAGTGACCGGTCGTTCCACCATTCAGTCATTTGCATATTAGGGTTTTATTAAATAGGATTGCAAACTTTTAAAAATTAGCAACATTGTTTTGCTCTCCTGCCAGCGGTGTAGGAGAGTTTCAGGTTTTCTATATCTGTGTCATCAGTGTTTTTAGTTTTAGCTGTTCTAGTAGGTTTTTATAATACTTTGTTTATAATGTTTCTATTTTCTTTTGGCTGCTTTTTGAGTATTCTTATTGCTGGTTTTCAGCAATTTTATTATAATGATCTTGCTGTGGTTTTCTTTAGAAACCCTGGCTTGTTTTTATTTTTCTACTTCAATCTATGGACGTATACTTCATTTTAAAAATCAAATTTGGGAGTTTTGTCATTTTTTTCTGTCCCACCTCCCTTCTCAGGATTCTAATTACAGGTGTTATACCTTTGGTCCCACAGGTGGGGTTTTTGTTCTTTGTTTATTTTTAATTGTTTTTCCCCAATCTTATTTCACTCTGTGCTTCATTTTGGATAGTTTATATTGTTATGTTTTCACATCCATTGATGTTTCTTTTGTAGTGTCTAACCAGCTGTTTACTCATGGTGTGTTTATATTTCAGAAATTGTGTTTTTTATTTCTATAGTTCCATTTAGGTCTTTTCATATCTTCCATTTCATTCCTTATTATGTTGCTGTGTTCTTCTACCTTCTTGAACATATAGAATCTCTCTATATAAAAGGCTACTATGCAAAGTGTCCCCTCGGGAGTTCAGCTGGAGGACCAGGAGTTTGATTACTCACTATGACGTGCACTGACATCTAGGGTGCAGCAGGGAACGAAGGAAGGCCCCGGCCAGCAGCCGGAAGGAAGGCCCTGATTGGTCCTGGTTGCTGGCCAGGCCTAGGGACCTTACCAGTGCACAAATTGCGTGCATCAGGCCTCTAGTATATTTATAATAGCTGCTAATCCCATCATCTCTGTCTTTCTGGGATAGTTTCTGCTGATTGATTTTTCTCCAGTTTGATTCTTTTTATGTCTGCCAGGTAATTTTTTATTGGATTCCCGACAATGCAGATTTTACATTGTCCTGTGCTAGATTTTGTTGTATTGCTTTAAATTGTGTGAATTTTCACCTGGCCGCAGTGGCTCGGTTGGTTGAGCATCAGTCTGTGCACTTAAATGCTTATGCTGCCGAAACCGGTTTGGCTCAATGGATAGAGCGTTGGTCTGTGGACTGAAGGGTCCCAGGTTCGATTCCGGTCAAGGGCATGTACATTGGTTGCGGGCACATTCCCTGGTAGGGGGTGTGCAGGAGGCAGCTTGTCAGTGTTTCTCTCTCATCAATGTTTCTAGCTCTCTATCCCTCTTCCTTCCTCTCTGTGAAAAATCAATAAAATATGTGTATTTTTTTTAAAAGCTTGTGTTGCCGGTTCAGTTCCTGATCAGGGCATATACCTCCATTTTGGGTTTGATCTCCAGTTGAGCAGGAGGCAACCAACCTATGTATCTCTCTCACATTGATGTTTCTCTCTCTCTCTCTCTCCCATCTTTTCTCTGTGCATATCCTCGGGTGAGGATTAAAAAAATAAATAAATAAAAATAAT